AAGAACTCGCCTTTGAGTCCCTGATCTTGGTCCCAGGCCCAGTGAGTGCACCAACCAAGAGTAAGCTGGCCCTGACCCCTGGCTACTTGCTGGTCAAGATCCAGACATTGACCAAGGACAAGGGGGAAAATTTTGTCTGTATAAAATAATGAATCAGTAAAACAGGAATGGACGCTAGGACCTATGTGCAGACAACATTTGGGAAGGGCCCTCAGGGATCAGGACCCAGGGGGCAGCACAGTGAGATGGGGACAGAGGAGGAACAATACAAACCACATGGTCAAGGTCAACCTTGTGAGCCATGGGGACGGATTCTCCTGGAACAACCTTGGAAGCTTACCACCGGAAGGAGCGGTTTAAACATCTGCCTCCACCCAGCCTTGGTAGAGAGCTCTTGCCTCCAGGGCTCACTTCTCCACGCTTCTGAGAAGTGAGGCAAGTAGCAGGGTGAGCCTGCTCCTCACCCAAGGCAGAGCCTGCGGGAAGAGAGAAAGAAAGAAGCAGCAGACACAGAGCAGAAGCCCAGAGAGGGTGCTGAGTCACAGCCCAGACCGTCTGCCCGAGCCAGGGTGAAGTCAAGGTGAACCTCAGAGGAGGAGCCCTGGGCGGTGACCGCCCCAGTTCTTTGTCCCCAGTTTACAAAGTAGTGAGCTGGAACTCACAGATAAGAACCAGTTTGTGGAAGGGTGTGGACTTTCAGGCATTAATGTTCAAGTCAGGGCCCATACAAAAATCTCAGCATGTACATCAGAGGTGGGCAGATAACAAATTATGAGCCTGCTTCCCAAACCTTCCAAGGAAGCAGGGAGGAGAGGCTGACCCTGATGCCGTGTGGGTCAGAACCGTCTCCATTGTAAAGCAGGCCCTGATGCGGGGCGGGCAGCTCATCAGAAGCACACGGTCAGGGAGCCACTCAGACAGGATTGGATGCTAGCGTGACATGGCCCCGGGATGGGTATGGGTTTCTTTCTCTTTGTGTCTTGACTTTTAGATTCAATTAATATGTAATTTTGCATCTTATCCTTAAACATGATGTACACAACTATTATGTGATCACAAATTCTTCATAAATAAAATAGGCAATTGCTAGGAGCTGAAAATAAAATTAAAAAAAAATGATGATATAATTATTTAAGTAGTGTTTGATCCCATTGCACAACAGTCACAACAGTGGTTTGAAGTGTAATGGCATAATCCCAGAGCACAAGGGAATGAAATTGGAGTTGGGTCTTTTGGTTGCATGTCAGTTTTAGGGGTGAATCTTCATGCCTTTGGATTCTGGGACTTGGGGTCCAGGATGAACCCTGGACCCAATTTTGTATATGCCCAGTTTGGCCTTGAAGCTGTGGAAAAAAGAGGCTAGAATTGGATAGAGCCCTTGCCTGCCTGCTATCGTCTGTCTATCTATCTATCTATCTATCTATCTATCTATCTATCTATCTATCTATCTATCTATCTATCTATCTGTCTGTCTATCTGTCTATCATCTATCTCCAGCTGCTCACAAAGTTGACCTTGACCATGCAGAGTGTATTGTTTTTCCTCTGCCTCCATCTCACTTTGCTGCCCCCTCAGTCCTGATCCCTGAAGGCCCTTCCCAAATAAAATGTCCTCACATAGGTCCAGCCTCAGTTCCCATTTCCTTCATTCATTGTTTCTTACAAGCAAAATTCCCCCCTCCGTCTCCCACCCAGCTGCTCCTCTGCTGCTGCATTGCTCCGGGTCTTTGGCTGTGCTACTTTGAACTTTGGTGGGATCTTGTCTGCAGACAGGTGATGTCAGACTCAGGGCTGATTTTCCAATAAGCAGCGTCCCTGGCTGACTCTATGGTTTTCATTTCCAAGCACTTTCCCTCCCCACTCTGCCCCTGTTAACAGACAAGGCCATGTTTTCAAGAGCAGTGAGGGGACAGCTGGAGGACTCTGTGAGGTCTTTGGCCGGATCCCCCTCACTTCCTTCCTGTGACACAGTCCTGTCTCCACTTTTGGATGGGGCATCTTAATGCCAGGATCAGAACCCAAGTCCCCTGCCTTCTGGGATTCTAAGTATGCTGGAGTTGTGGCATCTCTCCACATGATCCTGAACCAGGCCCTGTGGGGTCCGTTGGATAGGACAATAAATCTCTTTTCTCTTCATGAGGGGTCTGGTCTGTGTGCCTCCATGTGGGGGATCATGTGTCTCAAAGATAAGTCACTAGGTTCTTGGAGTATAGGGACTCTTGAGCTTAAGAGGTTACCAAGAAGAGAAGGTCCCATGCCTTTAAATGGATGCTTGCAAGTTCTTGGGATTGAGGATGAGGATATAGTGATCATGATGCTTTAGTCCATTCTTGCTGCTATAACAAAATACCTTAGGCTGGGTAATTTATAAATAACAGAAATTTATTTCTCTAGGTTCTGGAGGCTGGGAAGTCCAAGATCAAGGCACTGGTAGATCTGATATCTGGAGAGGCCCTGTTCCTCATGGATTGCATCTGTAATGTATCCTCACAAGGTAAAAGGGCAGAACAAGCTCCCTCCAGCCTCTTCTATAAGAGCGCTTATGTCACTCAGAAGGGCAGACCCCTTGTGAATTACTCAGCTCCCAAAGGCCAGGTGTTTTAGGCAGTTTGACGTCACTGTGATCAAAATACCTACAAAGAATAATTTAGAGGAAGAAAAGTTTATTTTGGTTCATGGTTTCAGAGATTTCAGCCCACGGTTAGTCGAATCCATAAGCTCTTGGTCAGAGTGATGCAGAATATCATGGCAGAGGGCATGGCAACCAGAAATCAGAGAGAGAGAGCTCCACCCACCCAGGACAAAATATTAAATCCAAAGGCGACCTACTACCTCCAGCCTCACCCTACCCATCTACAGCTGCCGCTCAGTTCATCCACTGATTAACCTAATCATTTCATTTCTGAAAATTCTTTCATTGCCTCACACATGAGCTTTTGGGGAATCCCTTATATGTAAACCATAACACAAGGGCTTGTATATGGTTTGTCCCCAAGGGCTTGGGGACAGTGTGGCAATGTGGAGGTAGTGGGACCTCTAAGAAATGAGGCCTGGTAGAAGGCAGGGTGGGTCATGGGGCTCCACCCTCGTGAATCAGTGCTGGTCTCTAGGAGTAGTTTGGATCTCACGGGAAGGAGTTATCTGGAGAGTGGGTTGTGATCAAGCAAGGCCACCCCATGTGCTTGGCCCCTTCTGCATACAGCTATTTCCCTCGTTGATTCTCTGCCACGTGGTGACTGCAGTCAGGGGCTCCTTGCAAGAGGTAGTACCATGTCTCTAGTCACCAGCCCAATAAACTTGTTTTTTCATCCAGTGTCCGAACGCAGGTATTTTTTTGTTTTTATAGTGACACTTAAATGAACTAAGACACGGGGAGAAGTGTTATCTTGAGTTTTGGAGGGACACAAACATTCAGCCCATAACAGGGATAAATTAATTTTGAGTCTCAGATCTGCCATCGCTTTCAATAGTTGCTTTGTGAAATGGCAGGAGATGGGCTCTGCCCTAGTCCCCTGGTCGTCCCTCTACATCCTTCTCTGGCTCATTCCACCTCACTTCTCCCTCAATGTGACCTTGCTCAGACCCTCGCCGTCTTCCTGCTCCACTGCAGTGGGATGTTCTCAGTCCCTTCGCTTCCTCATGCACTCGGTCACCAGGTTGTTCTTCCTGGTGTGTGGCTCTAAATGTGTCACTCTCCTCCTGTGCTATTTGAAAACGTGCAGCTAGTCCCTATTATCTGCTAACCTCCTCATCTGAAGTTCTAGATCCCCTATGATTTGGATCTAACCTTTCTAAAATCCCAAACTCCCCTGTCTTTTCAGAGTCTAGCTGAGTGGGATCCCTCCTTCCGGGCCCCTGCCCTCTTCTCCCTCTTCTGCAATAGATCACATACACCATCCCTCAGGACTGTCATGTTGAAGGGTCCTCTTCGTGAGAAGCCCTAAGTGGATGTGGGTTATGGACATCTAGTTTCCTTGGAGATCTGGTCTCATTTCTGAGGTATGACTCTTGAGTTGGAGATTTAATTAGGTGGAGAAAATTGGGCTTATGGAGAAAAGTTTGTAGACTGTCCCAAAAGATCCAAGAGAGAGACTTTGGGCAAAGATAGGTGTGGTGAGAAAAATGGGCATGGAGATCCTAACACACAGGGAGAGCTGCTCCTACCAAGTTCTTCCTGAACCTCAGTCCAATCCAGCCAAAACCATCCTGCGGGGTGGCATCATACACCCCAACTCTAACCTCTCCAGCTGTGTTCCTCTTCTCAGTTAAGTGCTACTATGTGAAAAATAAGAGTAAGTAGCTTAAAATGATATATTTTTTTCCTGTAGAAGATTCCAGAATCATATCACGACATTAAACATAATAGTATAAAGTACACACTTGACTTGAAAGGGCACTATTTGTTTCCCGCCGAAACAGAGAATAAAGAAGAATGTGTATGTATCAATGTCCTTGGCTGCTGAGAGCCATTGCCAAGTAGGACGCATGGTAATCCTTGCCAGGGAACCCCATGTTAATTTGCTGCGACCTTGCTTGTGTGTTTGAGAAAGGTGACCCTGTTCAATGACCAGGGTGGATCCAGGATTAGGGTGTATCCTGCAGGAAGTATCCTTGGGTTTAGGGCGTGACAATAGGAGTTTTAGGGAAATTGGAGGTTGAAGATTATTCCTGCTGGGAGTAGGGCGTGCCTGCTGCCTGAGTTCCCTCTGAGTTCTCGTGGAGAGAAAGTATTTAGGACGTGAATTGTGCGGGAGATGGGGATTGCCCCTGGACCTGTGTGGAGGCGGTGTGAGATCAGGAATAAAGAATTGCTGTTTGAACCTACAAAGCTGTGTGGTGGCTCGTGATTCTGTGCCAAGCCCAGACTTCGGCACTTGGATATGGATCTCATAATCCCCTCAGGTGGGTGGGAGGGAGGACAATGACATGTTGCCAGGAATTTGACTTCATAGACAAAAATAAATAAATAAATAAATAGAACCACATCACCAGGATTTTGCATTTTACTTTCACTTTATTTGGCGTATTAAGTCAAAATATAATTGACTTAAATATGATCAAGAATTATTGTGTTTTGAATTAATAAGCAAAGCACCTCTTTTCATCTATTAGGGTAAAATACTGTCACACTGCCCCTGGGGAAAATACACAGAGGTTTATCTTCAGGCTTTGACGACTCTCAGGCCATGTGGGAGGGTTCAAGGCTTCGGAGTTTGAGAGTTTTGGTTCAGGAGCGTCATAGAATCCTTGACCCAGTTCTCACTGGGGTCAGCACAGATCATCTTACCCCGTTTGGTCTTGAAACTGTGGGGGAAACGTGGCATGGTTAGATGGAGGGTCTTGAGAAGTCGGCCCAAGAGCATGGCCCATGGGTCCCTAGACCTCATGAGCCCTTGCTGCATGTGGGACATTTGGCCATGAATCCTGACCTCTTGACTGAGGGACACTTGCCTGAGGGTGCTGGGCATGGTCTACTTACATCACCGCTACTTTTGGACATTGGGTGCTGGTGATTGTGTAGCTCTGCAGCTTCTGGATGGGGATCCTCCTGTTGATAGTGCTAAAGCAGCAGGTGATGGGCATCAGCGGTGCACCTGAAAGCAATATTGCCAAGAGTGAGACAGGCCGGAGACATGTGTGCACTCACAAGGGAAGGAGAAGGCAGGAGAAGACCTAGGAGTCACCGTTGCCAAGTCCAGGGCCTGAGTCCAGATCCCAGAGATAAAACGCTACCCAAGTCGGTTTCCTCCATGGAACGATGGGGCTCCTCACTGTGGACTAGGAACTGAGAAATCTCTTCTGCTAATTCAAAACTCCTGACACGGAGAAAACAAAGACCTTGCTTCCCAGCTAGTTGTCCCCATGGGCTTTACAGCAAATCTAGGTCATATGCTGAGAACCCTCTGCATTCTTATCCTTACACAATCCCTGTTGTAAAAGCTGCACTGGATTATGATCCCAAATTTGAAACTTCAAGGAACCCTAATATGGTCCTTTCTACCCAGAGTGGGAAGGGCAGCTTCCCCAAACAATGTGAGCAGGTCGATGATGTGTCTGCACTCAGGGTCCCTTCCCAAAGTTGGTGTCAGGAGAGATCAGGGGGACTGATCTTGGTGGCCTGGGGATTCAGTTCTGGCTCTGGCTCTGACTAACTGTGACTAGCGATGGCTCTTCCCAGCTTCTTAACCTCACAGTTCTCCATCTTCAACGTGCAGGCGAGGCAGCCAGGCTGAGATGACGTGTGCTGGGACGTTGGTGCCTGTGGTCATTAGAAGGTCAAGGTGAGGGAAGGAGGGCTTTACCTGGCTGAGCCTGCTCCTGGGAGCTGACGGTGGCTGCTGTGAGCACCAGGCACAGAAGTGCCACAGAGACCTTCATGGTGGAGGGTGCAGGCGTGGAGAGAGAGAGAGAGAGAGAGAGGTTTCTGGATTAGTCTCCTCCGTCTCTCTGCTCCTCTGGAGGCTCCACCTGCCTTTTATAGGGATCAGAGAGCCTGGGCAGGGTTGGGGATCAGGGAAGAAAGAAGAACCTGAATGTGCTGAGCAGACATCAGATCCTGGGGTGATTTCCAGATAATAGAGAAGGAAGCTATGTAGTTTCTTTTTCTTAAATTTTGTAGAACAGGGGAGGAAGGATATGTGCTTCTACCAGTAAGGCCTAGGAAGTGATCTCATTGGACTACTCAGGGCTCTCATTTCTTCCAAATGGAAATGATCGGTAGGAAAGACAGACTGGCAGCTGAAGTCACACTAGAGACTGTGAGGCAAGGGCTGCCCCTCCGAGGAACCAGGAGGTCCCCGATGGGACCCTCAGGGGTCGCCTGTGAACTTCATCACCAGCAGGCCACAGCAGTGGGGCTGCCACTGATCTTTTTATTGTCTCATAGAATCACAGAGCAAGCAACCTTTCCAAACCGGCTCCTTTCCCTAAGCAACATGCATTTGAGGTTCCTCCATGTCTTTATAGATGTGGATAGCTCCTTTCTGTCTTTAAAGAATTATGTTATGTATGTAGCATAACATAAAATTTACCCTCCTAGCCAGTAAGTGTGCAGTTCATTGGCATCAAATATATGAGTATGTTCACATTGTTGTGCAATCAATCTCCATAATTCCCCCTCCCCTGCCTTTTTTTTTTTTCTGTATCAGGGATTGAAAGCAGAGGTGCTAAACCACTGAGCCACATCCCCATCCCTTTTTATCTTCTATTTTGGGACAGGGTCTTGCTAAGTTGCTTAGGGGCTTGCTAAGTTGCTGAGGCTGGCCTGAACATGCAATCCTACTGCCTCAGCCTCCTGAGCTGCTGGGATTAGAAGCATGCACCATGGCACCAGGCCTCCAAAACTCTTTTCATTTTGTAAATGAAACTGTCTACACATTAAACCAGTACTCACCTCCTCCTAGTCCCTGGTGACCATGGTTTTTACTTACTGTCTTTGCCATTTTGATTGTCTACTGCACATAATTGGAGTCATAAAATATTTGACTTTTTGTGACTGTCTTACTTTACTTAGCAAAATATTCTCAAGGATCATTCAGACTGTGGCCTATGTCAAATTTCTTTTCTTTCTCAGGTTGAATAAGATTCCAAGTTACGCATCTGCCACAGTGTGCTTGCCATTCATCTGTTGATGGACACTTAGACAGCTTTCACATTTTAGCTATTGCAAGTCAGGTTACTATGAACTTGGGTGAACAAATATCTCTCCAAGACACAATTTAAATTCCTCTGGATGTATATATCTAGAGGTAGGCACAATTTAAATATCTCTTCAAGTCATTATTTATTTATTTATTTATTTTAGTGCTGGGGATTGAACCCAGGGCCTTATGCATGCAAGGCAAGCACTCTACCAAATGAACTACATCCCCAGCCCTCAAGACATAATTTAAATTTCTTGGGTGTATTTACTCACAAGTGGAATTGTTGTATTGGATGATAATTATATTTTTTGATTTTTTAAAGTCCTTCCCTCCTGTTTTCTACAGTGGCTATGCCATTTTATATTCCCATCAACCATGAACAATGGCTTTATTCTCCCCACATTTTTGCCAACACTTGTTATTTTCTGTCTCTTTCATAGTAATATGAAATAGATGTGAGGTAGTATCTCATTACACTTTTGACTTTTATTTTTTCTAATAATTAGTGATGTTGAGCACTATTTCATGGGCTTATGAGCTATTCACTATATGTTCTTAGGAAAAGTGTCTATTCAAACCTTTTGCCCATTTCTGAATCTCATTACTTTTAGGAGCTCTCTGTTTATTCTGTATATCAATTCTTTATTAAATATGTGATTTGCAAATATTTCTCCTCTCCTATGGGTGGATTTTTATTTCATTGGAATTGCTTATGATGAACAAATTTTTTAAATTGTCATCGAGTCTGATTTGTCTTTTTACTGCGTGTGCCTTTGGTGCCAAATCTAAGAAGTCACTGCCAGATCCAATGTCATTTGATTTTGACACCATCACCAAATTCAAAGTTGCCAAGGTTTTCTCATATATTATCTTCTAGAAGTTTTATAGTTTTGAATTTTAAACTGTAAATGGACTTAGATCTATGACTCATTTTAAGTTTTTTTTTTTTTTTTTTTTGTGTGTGTGTGTGTGTGTGTGTGTGTAAGCCATAAGGTCTGTTTCCGGATATTTCTTTTTTGCACAATTGTGTGGTTGCTACAAGTATTATTTATTGAAAAATCTACCCTTTCTCCGTTGAATTGCCTTTGCTACTTTTTTCAAAGATTTGCAGACACTATTTGTGTGGGAAAAGGGCACTCAGTCCTTTTCCATTGATCTATTTGTCTTTTCCTACACCAGTGCCACAGGGTCTTGGAGTCCCCTAGTGTCAATCTGCTGATTTCTTCTGTATTGTGTTAGCTCTTCTGGATCTTCTGCAGCTCCGTGTGAATTTGTGAATCAGTTTGTCAATACCCACGAAATACCTTCTGAAATTTGGATTGGGACTAAGCTGAGCGTGTAGATCAAGTTGGGAACAACCGGCATGATGACAATATTGACTCTTTCTGCCTGGAAACATGGAACATCTCTCCAGTTATTTAGATGACCTTGAATTTTTTTTTTAAAATCAGTTTTGCAGTTTTTCTCATATATATTTTCTTAGATTAACTCCTGGGTATTTTTTTAGTGTTAATGTAAACCGCATGGTTATTAATTTCAAGTTCAAATTGTTCATTGCTGATGTATAGAAAAGCTATTGAAGTGTATATACTAACCTTGTATTTTACAATCTTGCTAAAATCACTAATTAGTTGTTTGCGTTCCTTGCTGCTGGTGGTGGTCTTTTGATTTTCTGTCTAAAATAGTTAGGTCTTCTGAAGAGATAGTTTCCTTTCTTTCTTTTCATTCTGTGTATCTTTTTATTTTCTTGTCTTAATGATTTAGTGAGGACTCCTGTCATGATATTAAAATTGGAGTAGTGAGAAAGAACATCTTTGTCTTATTATTAACCTTAGGAGAAAAATATCTAGTTCTTTACCACTACATATGTTGTTGGTTGTAGGCTTTTTGTAAATGTTTATTAAGTTAAGGAACAACCTCTATATTCCAAGTTTGCTGAGAGTTTTTATCATGAACAGGTGTTGACTTTTGAGGGATGAATTTTTTTTATGAAGGGTGTGCTGTACCAGGGATTGAACTCAGGGACAACCACTAAGCCACATCCCCAAGCCCAGTTTTATATTTTATTTAGAGACAGGGTCTCACTGAGTTGCTTAGCACCTCACTTTTGCTGAGGCTGGCTTTGAAGGTGAGATCCTCCTACCTCAGCCTCCTGTGCTGCTGGGATTACAGGTGTGCACCATCTCGTGTGGCTCCTGTCGGATTTGTTTTCTATATCTGCCCATAACATCATAAGACTTTCTCTTCAGCTTGTGGATGTGATAGATTGCATTAATTAATTTTTGAAGGTTGAACTGACCTTGCCTATCTGGAATAAATTCTGCTTGGTTGTGCTGTATAATTTTTTAAATACATTGGCTTATTTGCTAATATTTTTGTTGAGGAGTTTTGAATTAATGTTCACGAGTTCAGTCTACAGTTTTTGGTTGGTGTGTAATTTTCTTTGGTTGGAAGGCATTATCTAGTTTTGGTGTCAGGTGATCCTGGCCTCATAAACTGAATTTGGAAGTGTTCTCTTTTATTCTTGATTGTGCTATATAAAGTTTACCAATTTTCTTGTTTTTTTTTTTCAAAGAACCAATTTTGGTTTTGTTGATCTTCTTTATTATTTTCCTATTTTCTGCTCTAATTTTTCTTTCTTCTGCCTGTTTACATCTATATGGCTCTTCTTTTTCTCATTTTGCAGGCCAGAGCTTAGATTGTTAATTTTGAATCTTTCCTGTTTTCTAATATTTTTCATCTGATGTTGTCAGTTTCCTCCTAAGCATTGATTTGGTTTCATCTAGCAAATTTTGGTAAGTTGTATTTTCATTTTACGTAGTTCAAAATACTTAAAAATTTCTCTTGAGGTCTCTTTTCTGACTCATGTATCATTTAGAAGTATGTACTTTAATCTTCCAGTATTTGGGGAGTTTTCAGCTCTCTTTCTTTAATTGATTTCTAGCTTAATGTCATTGTGGTCTGAGAGCATACTTTATATGATTTCTGTTTTTTTAAAATTTGTTTATAACAAAACCATGGTCCATCTTGATGAATGTTACATGTGAACTTAAGAGGAATGTGTACTTTTTTTTTTAACTGGATAAAATATTCTAAAATGTGAATTAGATCCAGATGATGGAGGGTGCAGTTTAGTTCATCTATAACTTTGCTGATTTTCCTGCTGGATCTGACAATTACTGACAGAGATGTGTTGAAATCTCAAACAATGATATGAATTTGGTACCCATCATTAATTCTGAAAAATTCTTAGCCATTAATGCTTGGCATATTTTTCTCCTCCTTTTTACTTTCTTTCCCTTTTATGTTTCCACGATGTACATGGTACCTTCTTGTGTTTGTCCCATGTGGTTCTTGAATATTCTCTTCCATTTTTTCCCATTTTATTTCAGTTTGGGAATTTTCTATCGACAAGTATTCTTTCCTTAGCTGTGTGCACTCTGTTGGTGAATCCTTAAATGACATTGTGATTTTGATCTTTCTTTTTTTTTAAAAATTTAATTTAATTTTTTAGTTCTAGATGGACACAATACCTTTACTTTGATTTAGTTTTAATTTTTATGTGGTGCTGAGGATTGAACCCAGTGCCTTACACATGCTAGGCAAGCGCTCAACCACTGAGCCACAACCCCAGCCCTGATTTTGATCTTTATCATTGCCTTTTTGTTCTTGGTTCGAGTTTCCATTTCTCTGCTAACATTACTCATCTGTTCTTACTTTGTTCCACTTTTTCCATTAGAAAGCCAGGTTTAATGGGTTGGGTAATAAGAGAACTGAGGTAACTAGATCTTTAGGG